TGTATTGTGTATGTCTAAAGAATCAATTGTAGTTTACAATCTAATCAACTAGAACTGATGCAAATTACCTTCTATGGTGTTGCACATAAAAGGTAGAAACAATGATAGTTCCATTTGGGTTTGAAACTTTGAAAACTCGAGATCTTTCAAAAACATAAGTTCTAATAGCAACAACATATATTCTTCCATTCTTGTCAAACTGAATCTATGTTTTCTGTCGACTATAATCTTAGGTATGCCTCCTCTTTTGCGAGTTGATTTTTATTTTGTTCTCTAATTTGGTGTGTTTTTTGTTCTCTTCGTGTAACTTTTTTGTTCGAGTTTTTCTTCTTGTTCAGGTTACTGTTATTCTCTAAGATAAGCTACTCATTTATTTTAAAATATATTTAAGTTTGTAATGTGATAAGATCCCAAAAATGAAGGGGATCAATCGTAGGAGAACTTAGTGTTCCTAAATAGTTAGAGAATAGTGAACTTTTCTTGAACAGAGGTCGCGCAGCTCAATGAGCTAAAATAATGTTCTAATAGAAGATAGAGCGAGTTGTATTAAACTTGAGAAATCCATCTTGAATAACAAGTGAGCTATTGTTCAACTTTTAAGGCTGACAGAGAAGGCGGGAAAAGTGGTTAAAGTTGTTTAAACTTATCCACGTGCGTAGTAACGTGCCACTGATTCCTAACAGATTTCTATCTAACTAGAATAAATTAGGAATTTCAATCACACCATTGAATAGTTATCTAATATAAAAGATCATATCAGTGTATTGTGTGTGTCTAAAATTGTAGTGAAGATTTTCAACCCTCATGTTTTTCAATATGTTCTGTAACATGGCATCTTAATCTAAAGAATCGATCCTAATTTTAGAATCAAATTAACTCGAACTAATGAAAGTTATAAAAAGCAATTGAATTGATACAAATTACCTCCCATAGTACTGCACATAGAAGTTAGAAACAGTGATTGTTTCATTTGGGTTTTTAACTTGGGAAACTCGAGATTTTTCAATAAGATACATTTTAATATATAGCTGCACCATATATTCCTCCATTCTTGTCTAACTGAAGCTCCACAAATTAACCAAAACAACTTTAAATAATAGATTTTAAGTAGCTTTTAGAAGGAAAAAGATTCAACTAAATGTTGCAGCAATATGAGTCTATTTTTTTTTATCA